GTGAAAAAACAAAAAAATATTGAAAACAATTGACTTTTTTTGCTGTAAAAAGTTTACCCTTGGTGGCCCGCGTTTGCAATTTTGTTTTTACATGTCTAAACCCATATATACAAGCTAAAAAAATAAAAAAATTCTTACATTTTTCGTAATGGATTTCTCTTTTCGATCCTCAAATTATTGGCCTAATATTCTTCAAATCAGTCGCCATTTTTTAAAGCAGCGGCTCTGGAACGGCAGACAATGTTCTTTTTACTTAGAATAGCATACACTTTCGTAATTTACAATCAAACCTTCGCCTGCGATCAGGTCGATTTTTGGTTTACTCCAAGCAACTTGGTCTTCCTATGTATCGTTTCCCTCCAACTTTTTCATACAGCAGGCATCTTGACATGACAGCCTCGCGTTCATTTTTTTCTTTCATTCTCATGTCATTTGTTAAGACATAATCAAGGTACTCAAACGTGTCTGTACTTTTAAAACTGCGTTGACCGATCTGCATATCGTGCTGTTCCAGTTTTTAGTTCCTAGAAGTTTTTCAATATTTCGTTTTCCCTTCATTAACATAAAGCCCCACTTTTGCCGCTTCCCTCCCAAAGCTCCTAAAAGTGTTGCCATACTTCTAGCTACTATGAGCACGCCGTCCGCATATGCCAAATGCTGTGTGAATCGATTGTAAATAGCTCAATTAGAGTTAGTGCGCGTTACCCTAACAACTTTTTTCAGGACTCAATTGAAAAGAACAGGTGATAGTGGATCTCCCTTCCTCAGGCCACTATTTACTGCAAATTCTTCTGATAGCATTCCTTGTATTTTTATCTTCTTCCTACTGTCATGTCATTTTTGCGGGTCTAGTGAGCTTCTTGGAAATTCCCAATCCGAGTATTATCTTTAGTAGTTCATGTCAATCGACACTATCTTATGTCTGCTTAAAATCAATTAATAAATTCTGGAGGCCAACGCACTAGCGGATCCAGGAATTAATTTTAGGGGAGGGGGCTTCAACCCAAAAGCTTTATATATATATATATATATATATATATATATATATATATATATATATATATATATAAAACGATAATTAGTTTGGAAGAACAAGAAATAAACTAACTACCTATAAGAAATGGCGTTTAAGTGATTCTTAAGGTCCTATTAAATGTAATTAACGAACAATAATACTTTTTAGAGATAATTGGACATGGATATATTTTACCATTTTTTTGGGGGGGAGGGGGAGAGCTTCATCCCGAAAGCCCTCCTCATAGATTCGCCAGTGACCCAACTCGTATCCCCTTTCAAGAATCTGTCTTAGCGAAAATTTCCGGTCGATGGTTAATCTTCCAGGCCTGAAAACACACTGGTAATCACCCACTATCAGTTCAGAGTACTTCATCATCCACCTGTTTAATAAAAACAGACAATATTTTGTAGGCTGTACTTCGTACTCTTCAGGCGTTCTCCCTTCATACCAAACATCCAACAACAGTGTTTGTTTGGGCTCATTGTTTTGAAAGAACGATCTTATAGAGTTTTTAGATTATAGATATCACAGTCTTTTAATTAATTCGGTATCGATTTTAATCGATTTCGAACCATCACATTCATTGAGTACTAAGCATTAATTTGGTGGTATGAAAGTGCATGATACGGAATTCCTAAACTCATTAGCTATGCTATTTATACTCAAGTAGGGCATCTGCATACAGCTTAATCACTTATTCATCAATCCAAAGGTCCATGTCCAGTAGTTACTGTGTGAGACCTGGAATTCCAAAAACAGTCAAGTCCGATTTCTGATCTTTTTTAAAAAAATTTTTGTTATTAAAATATATATTTTTTTTATAACTTTTAAACTTATTTATTGAGACAACCCCCATACCAGACTGAAACGACTAGAAACCGCTCGACGTTTTCGACTACTGCAGCACTTACTGGAAAAACGCTCTAAGCTTTCAATCAATTACAAACGACTCATATATATGACAATTATAAGACCTATATGGACTTACGGAATTGAGGTTTGGGGCTCCACTAAACCATCGAATTCCTCTCGTTTCAAACCTTGCTTCGTCCTCGATCCCTGATAACGCTCCGAGGCGTCTGAAAAGAAGATGGCCTCGGGACCTTCTAATATAGAACTTTAATTTGAGTTCTACCAATGGGTAGTTTCTCTTCATGTTGTACATGTCATGTTACCAATGTCACATTTACTTGTTGTATTTTCCATGTAATACAGTTGTAAATTTCATTAAAATAAAAAAAGAAATTTATTGAGACATATAACAATATGTCTTAATTAGTTTATATAAATATGCCTGGGTCTATGATGTTTATTCCACTTTTTAATTTATTTTTCTGATTTATATTTTAGTTTGTTCTGTGTATATATTGTCATTGTTTTTGTTTTTTTGTAAATATGGTGTGAATATGTTCTCTGAACTCTATTATAAATGTCCTTAGTTGAGATAGATTGTAATATTTCTCAATAAAAAAGTTTTAAAAACAAATTAAGAAGAGGAGGGCAATGGAATTTCCTAAGAAGAGGCATGCGCCATCGACCTTGGATGGGATTAGCACTCCTTTTAAATATTATATAGCCAGCCAAATCCAAAAAATGTTGTGCCTACAGATTCATGTAAATTAGGGGACGGGGTGGCCAAGTGGGCTAAGGCCTGTGCACAGCACCAACCTGATTGGAAAAATATTACGGGAGTTCAAATCCCGGTGCAAATTTTAACTCCTAATTCCTCGCCCTCTCCCCTGGACCGGGAGACCCTAAAAGACTAGGGATAGGAGGGGAAAAAAAGATCCATGTAAATTTAATTTTTGTCTAGAATTTGTTTTAATACTATGCATGAACAGGTTTCTAAATGGAAGTGACAAAAAATTACATCAGTTATGCACTCATAGCACCGAATCATGACCTTTAGCGGGATACTTGTGAAAAATGTACCAAATTGGAATTGGAATTTCACGCTTCAGATAGCCTTATTACTATATCGATCAGATCAGAGCGACTCATACATACAATGAGCAAGCTCTTTTTTATCAATCATTTCTTAGTAAATGACGAAGACTAGATGTCCAATAACTGAAGAGCTCTTGGGATGAGTTGATAAGCAGATTGCTATATACTCGCCACTCTACATACCTTATATATATATACGCTACATAGCGAACAACCTCTTAACCTGTCTCCCTGATGAACCCTTAAACTTAGACAAGAACGTTGGAAACTCAGTGGTGTTTTTTTTTTTTTAATTACTGACCACACTAACTTCTTCTGTAAATATCATTACATAGGAGAATGGTTGAATTACAAAGAGGTGGCATCAAAAATATATTTGTCTAATTCAAAACAAAACCACTAGCGGATCCAGGATTTAATTTTTTTGGGGGGAGACTTCAGCTCGGAAGATTTTTTTACATATAACGATAATTAATTTGAAAAAAAAAGAAGAAGAAAGAAATGAACTACCTATATGAAATGGTGTTTAAGTGATTCTTGATGTCTTATTAAATGTAATTACACGAACAATAATACTTTAAGAGATAGTTTTTAATATTTTTTTCTATAAAACATGGTTATATTTTCCCGTTTTGGGGGGAGAGGGCGGGCTTCAGCCCGAAAGCCCTCCCACCCCCCTCCCCCGTGCACAGAACTGATAAATCAGGAATCACCAATCTTTTGCAGCCTTCTCTTTCTCTGCCAATCTTGGACTATTTCTTCCAGATATATGCATGCGGCCTTATCCTTGGTCTTTTGCCTACTATTGAGGCATTCATTATTGTGCCGAGACTTCCAAATAGGTTGCTCCGAGCTAAATCTTAACCTCCCTGCCTTCTTATCATGGGATATTGATTGCCCAGTTTCTGTAAGCAGCTTTTTATGGGCCTTTCTCCTCCATGAGTTAGTACTCTGATCCCGGATCGTTGCGATTATCGTGCGGAGGATTTTTCTCTCAAATCTTTCAATACTATTTTCCAGGAGGCTCATTGAATGTCCAGGTCTCACAGCCATAATATCAGAACTGGCTTTATCATAGTATCATAGTACACCCTTAGTTTGAGATTTCTTGAGATTTTTCGGGATTTCAATAGTTTTGAAAGAGAGAAGAAAGTTCTGTTTCCGAACGTTCGTCATTGCGGTTATTGTGAAGTCGAGATATTTGAATTTTTCTACTCTCTGGAACGATTTCCCTTCTACGCATATCCTATTATTATTATTATAGTGGAATTTATTACACTTTACATTAATATATTGCATATACTGTATATTACACAACAACAATTGTTACCATCTATTAACTTCAGTTTAGGATCTTCTTACTTAGCTTACTCTGTTTATATTTTAATGCACTTACTGTTTATAATTTTAATAAGCTTATTCACATTGTTTATACTTTTTTTCATAATATTATGTTATTTTCAAAATTCTCTACCTTTTTGTATCGTGTCCGTTCCAGCCTTGAAGAAGACCTGCAAAATCAGGTCGAAACGTTAATAAAATAGTTTTGCCACTATTCAGCCTATTTATGACCGCCACCCCGGACCATCTCCTTCCTTTATAATATATTTTGCTTTATATACATTTACTTGTTGGCCGATTATGCTATGCTTATCTTATTAGAGTCTTTGCGAGTATCTCAATGTCCTCCAGGTTGCTTCCAAGGACAGAAATGACTTCTGTGTATCCAAGGATTTAATGATTATTCATGTATAATATTCATAATAAGATGTCCTGAGAGGAAAGTTTAGAATACAGGTATTTCTAGTAGTGCTCAAAACCTTTTTAAGAATAATAAAAAAGTAAATTACGTCCGATTTTGAACAAAAAAAAAAAATCCATAACTGTTGAGTATATTAAATTGGATGAGAGTAACAATAGAGAAGCTGAGAGGCAGTGCCCGCCCCCGGATCCCCCACCCCAAGGAAAGGGGGCGTGGACAAGACCCCACCCTTTGGGTTGCCCCCCTCCAACCCGTGCGGCTTACAGTGTGAAGCTGCCCTCTGGACTGGTCTGTCACAGTATTTTCTTGTCTCCTCCTCCTCCTCATTATACTACGCCAGATCTTCGTCATCTGGTCCAGACCATCTTCTGTGAGTACCATATCATCTTCTTATCACTATTATAATAAAGTCTTATTTTTAATACATTCCATTCAAATAAATTTCTTGGATCACATTCATTATACAAGTACATAATTAATTATATTTCAATTTATATATAGATATATATATTTTTTGAATTATTCATTTAACGTAGCCTATGCCTAACGATTTCTAGTGAACCAGGAAATATTTATAAGAAAATAATTAGCTATATAAATATTTGACATTTTTTTTTTTTTTTTTTTGACATTTATCTTATAGTTGGTCCATGTGATTTATCTAGATTTTTATGTTTGATTAGATTTATTTAATAATTGTTTTATAAAATGCCACTAGTTTAATTTATTTCTTATGATGGATAATTAATTTGTCTTCACCTCTATATCTGAATTATTTAACTCGCAGGAATGTTTTGACAAATCTGTCTCGCGAGCTTAGGCCAAGTTTGACAACTGAAGTAAGAACCTTATCTCCCAGCAGTGTTGATATGCAAATGTTTTTTAATTCATATCATAACGGTTTATTTATGTTTGCTCATAGCCGATTCATGATTATCTTAGCCGCATCTCGCCTCGTGAAATATTGAGCCGAGAATGTGATGTTATGGTCACCTAAAGGTGATGAATACTCATCAACCTTGGACGGTTGATGGTTCGGTAGGGAAACGTTTTCGGAAAGAATAATAAAAGTGAACGTATACTGTGATAACGTAGAATCTCTCGCAATTTGTTATTATTTATATTGGTTATTTCTGAAATTTTACATGATTCTTAAATAATTACTATTCAGATAAGAAATGTTTACGCTATATTGTTATTATTGGCTCATCCTTCAGAATATGATCATTTTATAAATGTTTTATACGTTTAATAAACTTTTTATTTATTTATTTTTTTTATATCTGATGAAACGAGACATTAAAAGTATATAAAGTAAAAATTAATGAGTTGTTTTTGACAAAAATATATATATTTTCAGTCCAGATATACATGACTTTTCTGTCATTTGTTGATAAACAATAACAAATATTTACGGAAGTCCTGCTTACCAGAATGTTTTTATCGTCGTATCGTACCCTGAAACGTAACTGATGTTCTTATAAATTGTTTTATTTTATTTTTCCTTATTGAGTTGTATTACATTTTGTCACAATCAAGGGCATTATTAACATTGATAAAAAGAGTTCATTCATACCATATGTCAAACAAACAAAAAGGAATAAATTATTTTAAAAAATTGAGGCTATAAATTGATTAATTGAAACTATAATATTGAGAAATATAAATTAAAAAAAAAAAGAAGTCATTTTTCATATTCTTTATAAATATAGCGAACGCGTCGGTGAAAATATTTATAGTAATGATAATGCCAAAAAAAGTAATATAACAGTTTATACCTTACACACAAAAAGAAAATGACTAACCTCATTCCTTCACTACATAATCTTTTTTGAATAGCCTTTTTTGAATTTAAAATTAAAATTTAATTTTTTGTTTTTAATCTTTCAAATTTATTTTTGTCAAAGATAATTACCTACTAAATGGCAGAGAGGGCCTATTTTAGTGGTGATGGTGGATAATATTTTAATAGACCTCCATCAACCGTCCGTCCTAATACAATTTCATAACAAACAATTGATGACAAGGTTTACAATACAAAAATAAACGAAACCTGTTAAAGTATATATTAAAATATTAATTAATCATGGTTTGTTATTAATCAACATTTTAATTCCCTTCTTCGATAAAAAAAATTTACTTCCCAGGCTATTGATATGAAACAATGTTTTTAATCTTTCAATGATTAATAATTATATAGTAATAAATAAATGCCAATCGAGTTATCATATCTTTATAAATTTTAATGTCAAGGGAATCAGTTATTTATCTTTCTTTTTTTTTTATGGATGAGTAGGTATACTGAATTAATGAGAGGTAAGCATTAAGTATGTAATATGTAGATACTAAGAAATTCAAATCAGGTCTATTTAGAGCCTTAAAAAAATATATAAATTGTACGGTAAATATATAAAAAATATATACTGCAAGGATTTGTCAATTACCGAGCTCCTCAGCTTTTAAACAATATAGATTGCATAATAATAACAAATATCTTTTCAATTCCACATTTGGCTCGGCTGAGTCAGCTTTTCTGAATTAATATTTAGAAATCTATCAAATCCCTGAAGATTTCTGTCCACCTTATATTATGACGACCGATAAGAATATTATCTCCGATATAAAATAACTTTAATTTTATGGCCCAACATTTCTATTTTATTTGTTTTTCCGACAGGGTACTAACCAAAACTAGGCCCATGATACTCATTTGATATCAATAAAATAAATATACAAAATTTAGTCGAATGAAAAGAAGATTACTTCGGGACCTTCTGATATAAAACTATAATTGGAGGGCTACAGGTCACATATACTTGTCGTATTTTTAGTTAATAAAGATAAAAAAATAATAATAATTTTAATAAAAAGATAGAATTCATTCTAACCAAAACTTAAATTGCGAAAAATCATGACAATTACTACCAAAAAAATAGTCAAAGATTCGAATTTTTTTTCTATTTTAATTTGAATTTTATTCATGAAAATTTTTTTTTTTTTTTTTTTTTGTTTATTGATCCTCACGAAATATTTATATCGCAATAATGAACGTATAATTTTATGGAAAAAAAATACACGTATTAATTTCAATTTATTATGTTAGCGAGTGGCTAAGCAAAATAACAATCCTGCTTGGAGAGTCTTAATGGAAGATGGTTCTGACTAGTTTGAAACCTATGAAAGTTTTTTTTATCTCAGCGGTGGAAGACATTTTTCAGTTATGAGATAAATGTCTTGCCTGCTAACTGTTTGTATGACTTGTTCTGAGAAAGATATTGAATAGTGGTATCCTAAATCAATCGGCTACCATTGACATATTGGTAGCATAAATCTGTCCGTTACCGTTCTCAAGTATTGTACGTCAGGTCCACTTTGAAATTCTTCCCAAGCAAAATTACCTGCTTTCCCTAGTCTGTTGTAAATCATCTATTTTCTGTGGGTGCCATCCCAAGACATCTAAGTATGGACCATTTTTACTTTCATCTCAAAGCATACCTTTCAGCATAACTGAGGTCATATTTCGTCTCATCTTCATGTCTCGACAATGCTAGTTGAAATGAAATATGTTTATATATATATATATATATATATATATATATATATATTTAAACTCACCACCCTGTCCCCTGATTTCCTGCTATTCATTAAATAAAAAAATCTGGTGCGCGCATCACACGACTTTCACTTGCCACTGCCTTCTTTGCAGAAATAAGTATTTTCAGACAGGGGAAGTGAAAGTAAAAATTATTGACGCTTTATTTATTCACATTTCATCGTGGGTATTTTTATTTGTTTAATTACCCTTATATATACAAATTTTAATTTGTATATCTCTGTATTCTATACAATGAAATATATTATAATACCAAAGATAGCATTTATAAAACCGCATATATATATAATCATAATAATGTCGGAGTCCGTATTATATGAAGCTCATGTTACGTATGAAAGCATGTAATATTTCGGGCAAACTCGTATTCCTTTGATTCCTCTATTATATCTATTATCCGTTACGATCTCTTATTTATCCTTTAGTTAATTATCAAATTCTTTCATATTTTATATTTAACTATTTTTTATATCAAATATTAATGTCCCCGTGATCTCCTAATGTAACATATCATTAGAGTGCTACCATTGGGTAGTTACTCAGCAAGTGTTTTTCATGTCATTATATACATTATGTTCTAATTTACTAGATTTATTTATTTAATACAGTTGTAAATGTCTTTAAGAAATAAAAAAAAAATATTAATGTGAAATGGTTAATTATTTTAAATAAAAAAAAATAAAGGTACTTTAGATGAAGCCAATATTGAAACTTAGCCATTTAAGCTCTCGTAGACAACATCAATGAAAATAAAACCAACATTTTATTAAAAACTATTTAATAATAACTCTGACACTGAGTTTAATCAAAATCGTTAGAGCCGTTTTTGAGAAAATCATAAAAATGTGTTAAATCGATTAGTTGAAGTACCACTTCCGGTTTGTCAATTTTGACGAAAATATTGCTGTGACATCTAAAGCTTAAAAAAGCCTTAAATATGCAATTTTAATTTCATACGACTTTTCGTATTTGAGCTAGACTGATAACATACATACATACACAGACCATTTTGCGAGACTTGGTTATTTGGACTCAAGAGACTTCAAAACATGTATTTCCGTTGAAATCTCAGACTCGAAAATTTTCACGATCGCAATAATTCCCCTTGCTATATATTGCATATATAGGTAAGTGTAAGTAAAAATATATTCTAGGCTAAACAATCCTATTTGATGGCCAATGCCCACCGAATGATTGATCGGCGTTGTATTTAGTATAAAGAGTCGTACAACTTGCTTTTAACTTTTTTTTCTCTTTTTATTTTAATTTCATAAAAATAAAGAACAAACAAAAGAAAAACATAATAATTAGAAATTATAATTGAATGAATCAGTGTTGTCTCAAAAAATTTGCCAAAAGAATTTCCACCCAAAAAATATGTAATATTCATTTAATTTCTTTCTTGTACAGGTATCCTTTTTCCGTAATTGGTTTCTTTCAACATGTTGAAACATTGACAACCATACTGTCAATGTTGATTAATTTTTTGAAATTTTTTGTTGATATTTGTTGCTATTCTTTTTTTTGTGTTTTGTTAGTAAGGGGGGTAGCCTACCTCCCCCCCCCTCCCACTACCCTCTGGCTACGCCCATGATCTATACCATAATAGGAAATCTAATACTATTCCACAATTTCATCGATGTCTTTTCCATATTTTCCATAATTTTTTTTTTATAGTAATTTATGTCTATTGGCTATACACATAAATACATAAGCTTTTCATTTGTTAGTGATAAACTCTAATTTCGAAACTTAAT